AAGAGCTCTCTCAGCCCCGCCTACCTCACAGGGTGTCTGTTCTGGGGAAGGGAAAGGAGATTGTAAGCTGCTCTGAGACTCCTTCGGGTAGTGAAGGACAGTGTTCCCTCTAAGCTGAGTGAGTGTGAGCCAGCTCACAATTTTTTAGCCTCCGGGTCACACATTTTCGTCCTAGCTCAGGAAGGATGGCTCCAAAGCAAACTAATTTATGCAGTAGCCAAATGCCTCGCTCACAACTTTAATGCCAGTAGCTCACAAAGTAGAATTTTTGCTCACACGACTCCACAGCTTAGCGGGAACATTGGTGAAGGGTGGGGTGTAAATCCAATCTCCTCCTCCTTCTCCTCCCCTCCTCCTTCTTGTCCCTCTCCCACTTTTCCTCTGTCTTCTTCCCCTTCCTCTTCTCCTTTTTCTTCTTCTTCTTCTTCTTCTTCTTCTCCTCCCTCTCCCTCTCCTCCTCCTCCTCCTCCTTCTTCCTTCGCGGGCACCAAGAAAAGTGTCAGCAGGCACCATAGTGTTCACGGCCACAATGTTGGGGACCCCTATGCTGATGTAATGAACAAATACAATAACAAAATCTCCCGGGGGTCAAACTGTAGATTGCAAGAGGTCGCCAGCCTCCAGGTGGGAAATCCCAGCCATTCAGTAACCCTACGAATGTCCCCTGGCTCTTCCCTAGCTTCTCATGTCCCTGCTTTTTTGAAGAAGTATCTGTGCTCCATTAGCAGGGCTATTTTTGGACAGGAACGCAGAGGAACGGAGTTCCGGCTGGCTCCCGAGTTGGCCACGCCCAGCAGGAACGCATTAGCATAATAGGCCACACCCAACAGCAGAAACTCATTAGGATTGGCTACAATTAGTGGTGTGTGGCCTAACATGCAAAGGAGCTTCTGCTACAAAAAAGCCCTGGGTTTGGACAACAAACAAGGAAACCGAATAAGAATCAAAAGGTGGGTGTGTCTGGATGACCACACTTCTGCGAACATGGGGTGTGTGGCCTAATATGCTAATGAGCTGTGCTGTCAGGGGTGTGTCCTAATAAGCTAATAAATTTCTTCTGTTGGCTGTGGCCTGTTATGCTAATGAGTTCCTGCTGGGCTTTTTCTACAAAAAAAGCCCTGTCTATTAGCATTCACACCCCATCCTTTGCAAAAGGCTCCAGGCCCCCAAGGAGACATTGCCCAAATGCCACAGACCCCTAAAGATATCGTCTTGCTCGCCAGTGACCCAGACAGCAGTGGCAGAGAGGCATCTTACCCCGGGCAGCACCAGCCGACAGACTTCAGTTAGCCTCAGAATGGAGCCGGAGTCCCTGGCACAAGCGTGCCGTCCTTTTCAAGTGGCAGGCAGCTGGGGCACGGCTATCAGCAAACACACCAGATGGGCACGAGGGAGGCTGTTGAAGAGATCAGTCGCTCCTTCCCCTTCTGCGCTGCGGACGGACACCTGTCTGGGAAACAAAGGAAGTTGCCATCAAGGAGAGGCCACCGCAAAAGGCTTCGCGGGCCGAGTCTTTTTCGACAAAGACTTTTTTTAAAACCCACACAAGCAACGAGGCCTCTGACAGTGACAAAAAAGAGCGGAAGGAAAAGAGGACCGAAGCTCCGTGTAGGCCTCTGGTGATGCCAGGGACTCCAAAGGGCTCCAAAGTCATCTTTTGAAAGCTGTTCCCGCCTGGTGTGCCAAGGCACTTGGATCCCTCTTCAAACGATTCCTCTTCCCCTGCTCGCTCTCCCCCCCCACCGCCCATTTCTCTTTTGTAACCGGCGTCTGTTCCTAATTATCTGAAAATGTTTAATGCTGCCTAATTCAATTGGAACACTTGTTCGTGGACGACAAACCTTTCATCTGCTCGGCGTTTGAATTGGTCTTCTGCGACGGCGCTCGAGAGTCCTGGCACGAGATTGGCATCGGTGCTTGCGATCGAAGTGATGATTTGGAGGGAGCGGGGCAAACAAAGGTGGGAAGGGCAGAGCTGGAGGACCGTGGTATGATTGGAAGGTGTGTGCCTGCAGTCCTGGCTGATGCTGCGCAGCAAGAACTTGGCTGGCTGGTCTTTGGCTCAGAGACCTCTTGGAAACGCCCCTCTCAGGTAGACTGTCTTGGATTCCATGATGGGGGAAAAGAAAGATTTAAAGATATGAAAGGAAATGACCAGGAGCTGTAAAGAAGAATATTGTTCCCATCTCCTCCATTTGGGAGCCATTTGTGATCTGGTGAATTTAACAGGAAGTACACCAGTCTCCCCTCTCAGCTCAGACCCATTTGATGACAAAGCTCAAGGCAATGCATCCGCCTGGACTGAATCGAGACCTAGGTTTCCTGTCTCGTTAGCAATGCTGATTTCTCCATGCCTACTACCCCTCTACCTATCACACCTAATCCAATCGGATTGCCTATTGTCATTTGCCTGCTAATGTCATTTGGCATCTGAAATCATTCCACTTTCCAATATATAGGACAGATGGGCTCACATTTTAGCTGTATCTGAAGAAGTGAGTAGTGACCCATGAAAGCTCCTATCCTGCCACAAGTTTGTTTTGTTTTTTTGAAACCCCCAAGGGGGTGATTTTATTATTTCTCATAAGACTACTGTACTACAACAAAAAATATAGGAAGGGACTACAACTAGGGATAAAGGAAAGATACCCACACTAACTAAAAACCCAAGTGAAGAAGGTCATTTCTGTGTTAAACTGTATGTTAGTAATAAAAGTGTTAGTCACACAATATACTTGTAGAGTTCTTGTTTTACACTTCTATGTTAGTAAGTTAATTTTTATGAGAGTACTTCTTGAGCATCTTCTTTGCTTCAAAGGGCGGTTTACAGAGTCCTTCTGCCCTTACTTTGGTTTTGTGTCTCTAAAGTCATATACAGTTTTCACTGCTCCCGCTCCTGCTTCGCCCACAGAGCCCTCATCCGTTCCAGAAGTAGCAGAGTCACTTGATTTAGTTTCTTCGTCTTTCAGGTCTTCCTCTGATCCCAGCTGACGTCTCAAAAACTCTTTAGCTTTAAAAATGGAGTCAGTCTTCTCTCTTTTATCGTTGATTTAAAAAATGACACCTTCAGGAATCGCTCACCGATACTGAATTCCATTGGTTTGAAGAAATGAGATGAGCTCCTTGTAGCTTTTCCTCTTTTGACGTATTTCAAATGGAATATCTTTTAAAATTCTGATGGTTATATTCCCAGATTTCAGTGGATTTGCCGAAGTTGCCTTTAATATTGCATCTCTGGTCTGTCTTCTTGCAAATCTTACCACAATCTCTCCAGGCAGGCTATTTTTCTTTATATAATTTGAGTATGCCCTATAGGCAGCTTCCATGTCTTTTATTATTTCCTCCACTGATAAGCCTGTTACTGGAGCAATAATCTCGCCCAGAGTCTTCTTTAAATCTTCTTTTTCAGTTTCAGGCACCCCCTGAAATCTAAGAGTCATATTAGCTTTTTCCATTTGAAGCTGTAACAAACGAGTTTCCTGAAGTTTTTGTATTGTTTCCACATCTGTCACTCTTTTCTTCACTTTCTTATTTGCGGTGTCCATTTCTGTAATTTTTTCAGTCGCTTGCTCCACTTTCTTCTCCGTTTCTGCCAGCTGGTGCTGCTGTTGAGCAAAGTTTTGATTTAATGTAGCCAATTGCTGGTTGGTGGATTGGCGATAGCGGTCGCTCTCCCCAGTTCGCGGGGAGGCAATTAGCACACCAGCGGCAAGGAGGGGTGCTGCCTCAAGCGGCACCCCCATGGAGCCCTTGCGATGGGTTCCAGGCCAGAGGGCTTTTGAGGGTTAGCCTCTTCGATGGCTCGATGCCGGAGAATAGAGGCTTCCCTCCGCCCTGACGGTCCTACCGCTGAGTGACCATATGGTACAAGCTAATTCGACCGGGACAAGCGCAGGAGATCGAGCAGAACAACGGATGAAAGAGCGAGGTCTGTGAAAGGACCAACAATGAACGTGAGTTCAAAGTAAATGGACTATTTTGATAAAACGGAGTAACCCCCCCCTCGTGGGAAAAGCGGAGCGCAAGGAGGGACGGCTCTTGAGCGCAGAGACAGATCAATGCAGTGAGGGGGGTAGGGGGGCAACAAATAGCGAGATTATATTGAGAGACTTACTGGAGTACCGATAGCGAAAAGACAAGTCTTTCGAGCCCTGACAAAGCAGTTTGAAATTGTAAACAAAGAGGGAACATGGCGGCTTCCCGAGGAATGTTTAAACCGAAACCAGGCAGCCAGAGTCCAAGACCGGAAGAGGGAGCAGACATCATGAAGTTACTAGTGGATATGCTGAAGCCGGTAATGGGGCTGCCACAAGTTTTGTTAGTCTTTCAGGTGCTCCTGGGCTCTTGCTCTTTTCTACAGCTACAGACAGACTAACATGGCAGTGGCCCGTCTTGATCTATTTGCATGCCCAGCAACTGACATACCTGTCGCGGAGTGCGCTCCTGGCATCCCCAAGTCACCGTTGAATTCTAGCAGTCCAATTGCACCCTGCTGAAGTCCCACTATAGTCACCACACAGACTCAGGTTTAGTGGTTAACTATATACAGTGCAGTTTATTTACAAGACACAGCTCTCACCGTCAAAGTGCTTCGCCAAGCAGTCAACATTCAAGTTAGCACACAATGTACAGGACATTCACAGTTATATACACTTAATGACCAATCATATCACTGCTGAGTCACTCTGATAAGACATCAGCATTGCACCAGCCAGAACCGGTTTGCTCTGGTCTCCTGGACTGACAGTTACTCTGACACCTGTCACTTTAGATTGGCATGATCTATTTACATAGTTACACATGCTTCACACATGCTGAATACTTATATATTCCAACAATATCTTGCACTAAAGAAAAGAGGGTCAAGAAAGACAGAGCTCGCCCATACACAGGTGAATGGTGGAGCCATCCTCTTCCCTTTCTCACTGTTTGGTGGACATGTTGTGAAGGCACTGTGGTTTTATTTCTAGATGGTATCCCTCAGATGAAAGCAGCTCTGAAACCGAACATTTGTGCACTGTCCATGTGTACTGCCTGAAGACTTTCCCAGTTATCCCTATTATTTCAAAAATCTGTTGGTGCAAGTCTCCCATTTTTAGGGGCTTATCACACAAAGCTGGCTGGAGGAGGGGGCATGGCTCAGTGGCAGAGCATCTTCTTGGCATGCAGAAGGTCCCAGGTTCAATCCCCGGGCTTTACAGTTAAAAGGATGAGGCAGGAGGTGACGTAAAAGACCTCAGCCCTAAGGGCTTGGAGAGCTGCTGCCAGTCTGAGTAAACGATACTCACCTTGGTAGACCGTTGGTCAGATTCAGTATAAGGCAAGCATCATGTGTTCAGACTGAATCAGACCCTTGGTCTATCAGAGTCAGTCTTGTCTACTCAGACCGGCAGCATCTCTCCAGGGTCTCAGGCTGAGGTCTTTCACATCACCTACTGCCTGGTCCTTTCAAATGGAGATGCCGGGGATTGAACCTGGGACCTTCTGCATGTTGAGCAGAGGCTCTGCCACTGAGCCACAGCCCCTCTTTTACAGCTCTCCAGGGTCTCAGGTGGAGGTCTTTCACATCTCCCACTGCTTGGTCCTTTCAAATGGAGATGCCACGGACTGAACATGGGACCTTCTGCATGGCAAGCAGATGATCAACCACTGAGCCATGGCCCCGTCTCTCTAACCACCACACCTGAGATTTTTCACCCTTTGCCCTAGCAGAAGGTGCTCCTCCTTAGTAATCTTAGTTTCCCTGTCAGGGCTGCTTGGAGATGGGGTTAGGGGGACAAAGTACCAGGGGCTGTGGCGACCCGAAGATCCCATGGGGGGTCTGCAAGTAACCTGGTTTGCTTTTATATGATGTTGGGGTCAGGTCCAGAG